AGGGCGGCGGGGCGGGGAGGAAGCTGGCGCTGCGGCCATCGCGGCCATCTCCCGCCCTCCGCCGTGCTCTGCTTCCCTCCCCCATACCTGGATGTACCGCAGCGCCGTCCGCAGCACGCTCAGATTCGACGTCTTCTTGTCATCCACGTTGGGGATGTTTCGCTTCAGGGTCTCAAAGCATTCCTTCAGATGGGCCCTCCTGGGGAGAGGGAGCGAGCGCTGGTCAGCCCGCGCCCAGTGGGCAGGGGCTGGGGGACGGGGGAGGCCCAAGGGGAGCTGCAGGGGACCAAGAGTGGGCGAGTTCCGGGAGGAGGGGCGGGCCCAGAGTCACACACGCACGCACACACACCTGTTCTTCTCCAATTTGTTGTGGACTTCTCTGGTTCCGATCCTGAAACCCAGACAGACAGGAGGCTCAGGGAGGAGGACCTGATTAGGCGGCCTTCCTGACCCCCGCCGCCACCCCCCAAATGCCACAGACTTTCTGTCCCCAGTATTCTCTCTGTAAAAGCAGCAAAGGGAGTGGTTGGTTGCCTTGTGCCACTGAACCCACCCCCTGGAGGGCACATCTATGCTCACAAACCACAACCCATGTAACCCTCCATCCCGCCTGCCCAACCCCTGAGGAGTCAGAGGGGCTCCTGGGACTCCGAGAAGCACCAGTTGACCCCAGCCCTTACCCAAGAGGCCCATAATCCAATACTCTGTCCAAAGGCCTGGAAATGTCATAAGCCCCAGCCTTGGAGGGGGCGAGAGAACACAGAAGCCTGAGAACAGAGGGCAATGGCCATTCATTCTCAGTACAGAAATGGCACGGTGAGAATATGGCCAGCTAGAGGAGGCACATCTAGTCGGGAAGGCAGGACATGCCTCTGGGGAGCTAGCTCAGGAGGGTAACTTCTCTTGCACACACAGCCCAGGGAGCGGACAGTTCTCGCCATACCACCAGCCTCGACTGCCACCCCTCACTCACCCCCCGGGCCTCTTCTTCTGTTCGCTGGATTTGACTTCTTCAGCTGGTGCCAACTTGAGGGTCCCAAGCGTGGGAGGGGGTGGCTGCTGGGGAGCCAGCTGGGGCTGGACTCCTGGGTGTGGTGCTATGGTCAGGATGGGTGTGGGGAGGGGCTGCAAAGGCTTAGGGCTGCCAGTGGGTGGGACGGTGGTCTTCGAGTCCGGCAGTAAGGGAGCAGGGGTGGGCACCTGTGGCCTGGTGGGCAGGGGGGCAGGCTCCTTAATGCTGAGTCCAGGGGTGCTGACCAGGGCTGGCTGACGAGGTGCCAGGGGCAGAGGCTGGGCTGTGGGGGGCAGTGGTGGGGGTGGGGGCAGTGGCTGAGGGGGGCTCCTCCACGGGCAGGGGATGTGCCAGCCTGGCCAGGCTACTGGCCTTCTTCTGTTCCTGCTCCCGCTCCCGCTCCCGCTCCAGGCGAAGCCGCTCCTGTTCCTCTACGCGGAGAGAGCACAAGGGCGTCTCAGCCGGGCTGCGGCCCTGCCCAGCGTCCCCTGTCTGCCCACCCCAGCCCATCCCTGACCCTGTCCCAACAGGACTCGGACTCCCTCCCAGTCCCAGACACCACGACATCCAGCCACATCCATCCAGCACTGGTCCTGATCCCTGCCACTGGGAGTTCACAGCTGCAGGGGAGCAAGAAGATCAGGACAGGACTAAGGTCCAGGCTGGGGACTGGATGGGGCCGTGGGCAGGCAGAGTTGGACCTGACAGAGGAGACACTGCCAGCCGGGTGATCTGAAGGGCGCGGAGCAGGCAGAAGATGGACAAAGAGTGGCAGGAGCAGCAAACCCAAGGAGACGGGAGCCAGGTCGGGAGGTGGCAGAAGCCTGTCCACAAAAGACCTCCCAGGCTGCTGGAGGAGAACGGAGGGGTCACTGACAAACCACGGCTTCTGTGGGAGGCCTTCAGCGACATTTACCAAGCACCACCTAGAGGGCAGGCAGTCCCTGTATCTCACAGATGAGATCAACGACGCTCAGAGGAAGCAGGGATCTGCTGAGGCTCACACAGCAAATGTGACACCTGGCTGGGTGCACTGTACTTCCTGTGACAACACAGGCACGCATGTCTTCTCACATGCATTCCCACCACCTGGAGCAGGAGCCCCGAGCCACAGGCAGGGGAGGGACACTGTCTTCATTTCACCCATGAGGAAATGGCCCAGGAATCCTGGCTTCCGGGCTGGGCCCCAGTGCCTGTTTTCCTCGGTGACTTTGTTGAACACACTCAATCCCTCTCTGCCCCTTCTCATGTTAGAACTCGTCCCCTCCCTTTCCATCCCCAGCAGCAGCAGTGCAGCCTGGAAAAGCAAGAGGCAGGCAGAAAGCAAAGCTGGGCCCTTGAATGGGGGTCGGCAGGGCAACAGACCCAGGCAACCTTCACCCCATCCCTTGGCATCGGCATCTCTGCTGAAAGCCAGGCAGAAGGGTGAGGCCTGCACAGGGGCTGGCTGAGAGCAGGGAAGGGGGAGCGAGCCCCTTCTTCACCCCTGCCCTGCCTTCTCCCAGGCCCCACCGTTCAGGTCCGCTCATGCCAGGGAGCAGGCGGCATAACCAGCCCTCTGCTCCTGCCCTGGATGGGCGCTGACTAACAGCTGACAGCACTAGCTGGTGGCCACGCCCCAAAGACGCCAGCCCACATGGGGTGGGGCTGAGGCTGGGGGCTAAGTCACCTCTAGCAAGCAGCCCTCCACATGTCCTACTGGTTCAGAGGCCCCAGAAAACTTGAGGCCTCACCGTCCTTTGGCCAATCAACAACTTGAATGGGAGCCAGGCTTGCCCCTAGCCCCTCCCTCCCATAGAGGGGAAGAGGCCAAGGAGGAAGTGGAGGGGGATGTGTTTTGACAGAGGAAGGACTCCGTGGTTTCCCAGCAGCCAGAGTTCAGGGCTGGGCTGGTCAGTGGACCTCTTCCGTATCACCCATGGCCTTCAGGAAGGGAGAATCCAGACCTCCTCCCATGATGGGGGCCCTTGCTCTCCGGACCTCTCCCACCAGCACCGGCTTACATTTCAGGCACAGAGAAACCAGCTCTGCTCCAGCTTCCCACAAACCACAGTGGCACAGAAGCCTGCAGAGTGCCAGCTGCAGAACCCTTTAGGGACAGGGGGTATCACTGGTCTTCTCCCTCACTCCTTGCCTCGCTTCCCCCCAAGACAAGACCCTCGAGCTCAGGGCCCTCACCTCCATTCCTGACTGAACAGGACCCAAACTTTCATTGACCTTGGGGCAAGTGCTCTACTCTCCACAGGGAGGCCAGATAGGGCCCCAAGTTCCAAGGGCAGGTGCCCTGGAACCCAGAAAGCAGATCCCGTATTTCTCAGATTTTAAATCAACAACAAAAGCTCACCTAGGAGATGGCACCCTCCTCCACACCTACCCTCTCTCTTACAGAGCCAGGCAGGTGTGCCTCACAGGTGCCAGGAGGGACTCAGGTGAAGGGCACCAGCATGATAAACCTTGACTGATGGTGAAGACTGGGTGCCCCACGTTAGATCCAGCCAACCAAAGCTTCTACCCCTGGCCCCCAACTTCTCACTGCCACCCAGCTGCACCCTCACCCTGTGCACTGGAAAGGGGGAAGCAAGCAGTTGCTGGGTCCTCCTGCAGGAGTAACTGGGTTTAGGCTCGCTCTTTACAAGGATGTTGTGTTGCACCCACGGGTGCGCTCCCTCTCCGGCAAACATGCACTCACATACTCCGGGTTCTCCCCAAAGGCTGCCCTGGAAGAATGTGTCATGACCCCCCTGGGATGATCCAGAGGCCAAGGCCCAGGCCACGGTCTAGAGCACGACCACGGGCATGCTCCCTTTAATCTTCCACACTCCTAGTCCAGGGGTT